TTTTTTCCATATCTTTACATCTCTTGGTTGGGATGATCAATTGGAGGGGATTCTCTCATCAAAGCACTCTTTTGTAGATGCACTTTAATATAAGGTTGACACCTTATATAAACTTTTCTTTAAAACATTGTTTAATTTAGAAATAAAGCCACTCAAATCAAGCAACGTATCTCCATGCTTCCTATAAATAAATTAAATATGTTGACCTTCCCATCCAACATTGTCTATGTCTTGGGCAAGCAAGCGCCACATGAGTCATGTGCTGAGATGATGGGAGAAATGGGAACACGAAATTGCATAAAGACATTTATCTAAGAAAGCAAAAGAGAAAGTATCATCAAAGGCTACGATGCGGGTTGGGTTAGGTAGGCTGTCAATATAAACTTTTACTAAAACTTTCTATGTTGGAATTAGTAAGAAAAAATATAAAGCTTATGGCCTTTTGGAGGATATTACCCTTGATAGAGCAGAATTAATGACCAAAATTAGTGTAGCTGACCCAAATACTTAAAAAAAAACTTTAATTATGATGATTATGATCATCAAAGGGGTTGAATGGGTCAAGAAATCACAATTAATATTAGAGAATTTATTTAGCATTTTAGAAAAATATATTAAAAATATTCAAAAACCCTGAATAAATAAGAGTATTTTAGTAGTTTGACCCATCTAAAAGGCCTTAATAACACAAATCAACATGCTTGCAATACTATTGAAAAACCCCTTCTTGTTTAGGGAACCCGACCTAAATAGGGGCAATCTGGTATTTTTAAAATAGAGGCGACTCCAGAAAAATAGAACTAAAAAATAAAGCCCTCGATTAAACGAGATATTCAAAACTTCTCTATTTTGCAAGGGGTTTTGACCCCTATTTTTTATTTAAAAAAAAAAGAAAAAAAAAGAAAGGATGATGTATATCGACATTGTTGCATGATGACGTTAGAAATGCTTCATTTTGTGATCATGATCATCACACACACATGCGCACATGCATGCCCATGCACATGCATTATTTGTAAGGTCAATAGAAGTCAACCATGTAAGACCCGATTGACGTGTCCGTATCTACCTCAATTTTCGTGGACCCCACATGTCTTTTGCAATTTTTGTGGAGCCCACAAGTAATGCCCCGATGTTAGTGTTACTCCACATTTTTGCTGTATGAAATGGCAGTTAGGGTAGCCATTAAATAGACTTTTTAGATATTTTCCATTCAACCCTCAAAATATTTGTGTTTTTTAATCATTTAAAAAAAATATTGAAAATGAAAAAAAAGTTGAATCTTGATAGCACCCCACATCTTAGTCACCAAGTTGTAGTTTGCATTTCACTGATACCACCCCATCAACCTCTTAAAAAATTTATATCTTAACAGGCCATTAACATCTTAAGAAAATTATATCCAAATAGGTAATTGGATTACCCAAAAAAAAAAAAATTAAACATGCGCAGACTCACTGGTCCAACTTGTGGGAGTTACTCAATCAAATTGAGTCGAACTAGGCAATTTTTAATAAGATAAATATAAAAATGGGGAAAAAAAAAAAAGGAGACTTGGGCAATTTTGGGGTTTTCTACCCAAATTACCAGGCTCCTAATTTGGGCCGACTTGGGCAGGTCTTGAGTCAGCTCATCAATTTTCTTCTAAGAGATGAGTTATTGAACTTTCTGCCCATTTTGCAACTAGTTTTATCAGATATTTTTAAATTGAAATTAAATATATGAATATAGTGTTTAGTTGTTCCTCTTTTATAAGTAATTTCATAATTTTCTTGCTTTTTAAGCATTGTGTTTTATATTTGTCACTACGTTGAATCATAGAGGCTAAGGTGAGAGTCGAGATTTCAACTTGCATTATCAAGTTAGACTACCTGTAGGCTAAGCTTAGAACACGAATCATACTTTTTGTTGAACCTTCTCTTCCCTTTCCATACCATCCCAACCCTCCTCCTTCTTCTTCACTTTTTTTTCATTTTTTTTTTTTTATAAGGGTATTTCAATAGGGCTTACTGGCTCATTTTTTAATCGATTAATGGATTTTGAAAGTGTTAGTGGGAATTGAAGCCACAAAATGCAATTGAGGTATAGGGGTGCTACCACCGTGACTCTAGCCCCTTTCCCATACCATCCCAACCTAGCGGTCATTAGTTTTGATTTTTCCAACTTGGTTCTTCAGAAAGAACTTAACTTTATGAATTCTTGTGTATTAAAAATTACTCTAGAACAGACTTTTTCTCCACCATCTAAACTAATCTAACATTTTAAATATTATCTTATTTTTGCTTTGGACATTATCAAGAACCATTTAAGAAGGTCCTAGAAATATAAAAAATTTATCAATCCAAAAGGAAAGGAAAAGGAAGCATCAAGAAAGTCAATGGGAATTATAAAAGTAAAGGTAAGGAGGAGTGAATTCCCAATGTAGACATTGGAGAAGGCAGTTCAAGGCATGATTTTAAGTGCAAGCACTGAAAATGGCAGTGTTCCAACTAAGTTAATGCATATTTGAGTGTGTAACATGAGAATTTCAATTGTATGCATGTATATTGGTAATTTTGTTAAAGGCCATGAAAATTCAGTTAGAACAAATTATAAATTCCATGAAACTATTACAGGTCATCCCAAGGCCCTACTTACCTGTGTGTGTGTGTGCACATGCATGATTACTGGTGCAAAGATCTTTGTAGGGACATATGCCCAATTTGTTTGTTTGGGAAAATTTATCAAATTACTCATGAGAGATAAATAATTTAACCGTTTACCTATATCTTTGGATTTAATTTCAAAATACCCATAATAAAATATGATCTTGAATTGGAATAGATACATATGGCCAATTAACAGGCAATGTGTAAAATAATTTGTCTCTAATAAGTATTTTATTAAAATTTTCCCATTTATTTAATATTTATTTATGTAAAATAAGGATGTTCTTTTCAAAATAAGGGCCATTCTTTCTATTATTATAAAAATGATAGCCATGATTTCCCATTTGTGGTATCTTTATTTGTCAAAATGGGAAACCAGATGTTACAGCCTCTAAGTTGGTTCTTTAATGGAGGCCATATTGAATAAAATGGCCACCATAACTATTTTATTTCTGTTAGAACAATTTTTTTATTTTTAAAGTGTGATTCAAGAAAAGTTTTGAGAGTATTATACAATTGAGTTGCAGAAATAATTTAGTGTTATTATGCCTTACACAAGGAATCTTTATTATGATCCCTTGCAAAAGGTCAGACAAGCATTGATGCTTTTTTCATGTGTCGATTTTTCACTCCATATAGTATTGGAGGTACCCCATTGATAAGCATGGTTTAAATGCCATCCCATCATCAAATTGTTAATCTTCTGTCAGGTTATAATACATGCCAAGCTCGTGTGTTCAAAACTTCATGTCCATAACTCAGTTGAAAGTTTGCATGTTATTGCAACCTCGGGTCTGGTTAAAACCTGTTATTGTATTCAAATGCTCATAATTTTCAGTCTTGAGGCCCTGAATATATACAATTGTTGTGCTATTAGATGGTTGGGTCTGACATGGCATGCCTATGTCACAAAGATATTGATACATGCATCCGCTTCTAACATGGATACACGTGTCAAAAACACCAACTTAAAATTTGACCTCTTTGACAAATTCTGTGTCTTAGATGGATTACGTACTTTTATGATGAGATTTCAAGAAATGTTATAAAAGCAATGTTTAAGTTTCTAAAGCATTGCACATAAGTGTTAGTCTCTTTGATGTATCAACATCTGCCAAAAAACATGGATATGTGTGTCCATGTTACATGGTGGAATGTGTATCAGTAATCATAATCTATTTTATGATGACCTCTTCTTTTGGATAGGTCAGATCGGTTTGCATGAGTGGATCCCTCTTGGAGTCCAATTTTGATAATAGAGTGGGACTCCAGTAATGTTATTGCATGGGAGTCTCATTCCTATGCCTGCGCCTGGAGACTTGTACACGTCTTTGATGAGATTTTCCATATTTGCAAGCCTATGCTTATCTCATGGAGACATACTTAGTATGAGGCCAACGCCACAGCCGATGTCTAGCTAAAGCAGTAGTGACCCAGTTTAGCACTTATGAACCGTGTTGGCACCTTTTTTAGCACGTAGTTCTTCGCAGTTTTATTAATCTACAGTTGCTTCATATGATTGTAAAGCATTTTTTGATACTGCTCTTCCTTTCGCATACCGCCCCAAGCACTGCCTACTTTTTGTTGCATTGTATACCTTTGCCCTTTCAACAAAGTAGACGCTTCCATAAATAAGCAGAGGCAACATCAGCTTTGAATTTCCTTTAAAGAATGACGTCTGTGTGCAACCTCTATGTAATGGATGATGACAGGCAAGAAATGTAGGGAAAGCCTAACACACACACCTACAAGACAGAGCTGGTGTACAGTAATCACACGGTGTTTGCCATGGAAGCATCCACAGTTTGTTTTCAATGAGCAGTGGAGATAGCAGTATATAGGTAAGCATCCATTGTTGGGAATATAAGGTGGGTGCCCCCGTGATGCCATTTGCCACACAACAATGGTGTATGATGTACCTATCATGAGAATTGCTGTCCATAGACTCAGCCTGTTGAATATTATTTGGAGCACCCATTAATTAATAAGAAAACTTCTACAATACTGATGATTTCTACATTACTGATGATTGCTGCTTTGTTGATATTATACAACATGAAGGCCTCCCATTGAGGTTGCATCTTTGGAGCTGGAGTTGACAAGGGATGAATGTAATACTGCATAACCAAAAAATGTAGATAGTTGCATGAAGCAATATGAAAGACTCCGAAAGGCTGCTCTCTCACCAAAATTAGGATAAAAATATGGAAGCAAGTGTTTCATGTAAACTTGAATCTCAGAATGCCTCCTTTAAGAGAAAATTCATCAATAAACAACTTTTATATGCATCAGTTTGCAAAGGCCAAGAATAGCAGGTCCACCAACATCATAACAAATAGGTTAGTACAAGAATTCCAAGATAACATGCACTAAGACGTGCATAGTTAACAGATTGTTATTGATTCAAATTTGTGAATGTGTAATACAAGTACTTGTAGTTAAGGGGGTTAGACAGCTCCAGACCAAACAGCAGCCAATCAGCCAGTTATAGAATACATAAACTCAGATATATCCTCAAAACCATAATTTTAACCCCCTGCAGAATAACACAGTCAACAATATATTTTCTTTGTTGGGTTTCAAAAGAAATGTATTATGTATTTTTCTTTCTATATGGTTCGAAGGAATTATCAAAGAGCATAAGACACTGCTATGGAAGAGACCCAAGTAAGGAAGCTCCATTTATTTCCTTTGCATCAATTCGAAGTGTTGAGTTAAGCCTCACAAAGCATGCCCACTTCTACCCTCTGATTAAGAGGGATCCCCAAAGATGGCAGAGCTGACCTGCAATTTTCATGTAACACTTTGTAGAATCCAATGAACACCTTATCAAACCACCTTGTCCTCTTACTTATCTGAAACCTTGTTTTCCCAAGTACATGTACCACCTCCAATTTCCTGGCATGGTCCAACTCCGAAATCTCTTCCTGCAGGAGCTCCGGGGACTCAGCTGAGCTCTTCTCCAAATATGTTCTTAAGCAGTTAATCACTCTATTGTTAATGTCATCTCCTTCGGGATTGAGGCAATCAGCGTATCCATACTGCACTATGCACCTATACACTCCTCTAAGACCTAATCTCTTTATTATTATTCTCTCTCCACCTGCAACTTTGGCTACCATTAAGTACTTAAAAGTGGTAATGATAATGACTCGGTGGAGTGATCTCATGTTCTTTACATAGTGTTCGAGAGTTTGGGGTAGCCCAGTTGGTATGTTGCTGTAGAAGAAGCACAAACCAGGGACCCTGTTAACTCCCGGATGAGAGAGAAGCTTGCTAAGGCCATCCAATGTGGTTTTGTTGGTCATCTCATACTCTGTCTTCTTTTGTCTCCCATAGTACCAAGTGAACATTATGAGAACAAGGAAGATGGATATGGCAAATGGGAGCCACCCACCCTCAGGAATTTTAGTGAAAACTGAACTCACATATACGCCTTCGAGAATGAAAAATGGAATGAAGTAAAGTGCAACTAGTGGCAAGGGAGTTTTCCATATTATAATCATAACCAGTGTCAAGAGAATGGTAGTGATTAGCATAACTAGGATGACCACGACACCTGCATACAACTTGAACTTATTAGTATATGAATTTTGGGTTCAAATAGGGTATGAAGAGAAATCATTGACATCATTTGAGAAGATCTTGACAGAACTGGCAGACAGCAGAGGATTGAATAAAGTTACATGGATAAAATATGTAGAATTCTGAAGAAGATATTTGTAATAATAAAAAAATGACATGGAAGAAAAAAAAATTGCACTCTTTGACACTTCATATTGATTCTCAGAGAATTTAAATAAAGATAAAGAGTAGTTTGGCCACTTTGTGAAATCTGACGAGCAAGGTTTATTTTTAATATGATTTTAAAGCATTTGGCTTTTTGTGGGCATCAAGGCGATCTGAACTATTACTGACTTCTACGAGGAAATTCGAGGAAAAAGCATGTCAATAATGAAAAAAAAAAAAGGGAGGAAAATGAACTATTCTAAAGAAGCATTTGATTATTGTACTAACATAACCACCAAAAAAAAAGGAAAAAAAACAAACTACTATATCTTAGTGACTATCTTGGCAGGTGGAAACGAACATGGAAAAAGGAATTAAACCCTGAAATCTAACCTAGAAGGTATATTGGTATACGTGCGCTACCTCTCTCTCTCTCTCTCCCTCTCTAAAGAAGGGGAGGGGGGGAGGGGACTCTCCCTCTCTAAAGAAAGGAGGGACAGAGGGAGGGAGGGAGGGGAGGGGGGGAGGGGGGGGTGGAGAGAGAGAGAGAGAGAGATGCCATCTCTTTTTGACATACCAAAAGCATTGCCTAGGTCTTGGCCATCTCTGAAACCAAGCACAACTGCGATGCATAAAACCATAAGGATGTAGTTGACTTCTGGGGAGTAAACCTCGCCCTCTTTGCTTCTAGAAGTGTGCTTCACCGTAAGTCGTGGAAAGTAATCAAGGACAACTGCCTGCTTTATGACAGAGAAGGTAGCAGAGATCAACGATTGACTTGCAACTGTAGCAGCCAGTGTTGATACCACAAACATGGGCCAGTAAATAGGCTTAGGAACAAACTTGTAAAACCCATCACTGTGATCATTGGGATTAATAATCAGATATGCTGTTTGCCCCGCATAAGTCAGGACCAGAGAAGGGTATATGGTGAATAAGAAAGCTATCTGTGGATGAAAGCATGCAAATGCCTTTTTAGGAACATAATGGCATTACCTTTCACTGAAATCTACATATGATATGATTAACATATATTGACGAAAGAGAAAAAGACCTGAATTGATCTCTGACTGAAATGACCAAGATCTGCAAACATGGCTTCAGAACCTGAAATAAAATGGATGTGTTTATTAAAGGTGGTAAGCTTCTGAGATATAGCTTTATTGGATAGATGGTTATAACCACTGTTTTAAAAATCGCCGAGTCGGCACGGAATCGGCCGATTCGAACCGGGAATCAGTCATCCCGTGTCAATTCTTTTGTAAAACCGGGAATCGTCCGATTCTAGAGAAGAACCGGCTGCACAGTGAATCGCTGGATGACGTCATGACTCGCCCGGTTTTGTGCACGCGCATGACGTCATGAGTCACAAGGGCCATTTTTGTAAAATGGGCACCCATTGTCAAACACACGTGCTCCATCACAAACCCACACTGCTACGTGCGTTTCGTGCGCGACTAGCTTTGGTAGCAGAAGACTATTTATCCTTACCAAATTTGTTCTGTGGGTTCGATGTGGGACAATTGCGCCAAGGTAATAACTTAGAAAGAAATATGATATAATTATTGAGTGACCTCTTTGTATCACAACTTAACATTTGACGTGGTGGTTAGTGCGTTGTTTTAGTGCGCTGGACGTCGCGGGATCAATTCCTGCCCAGGTGCCATTATTCCTTCACAAACAAATAAATTTTTTCTTTTTTACAGAATAGTTTTTTTTTACAAAAAAAATAAAAGTTTTTTAGAAAAAAATATATTTTTCGTTAAAAAAAAATTTAAGGTTCTTATAAAAAAAAAAAAAGGTAATACAACAAAAAAAAAATTTCTTGTCAAAAAATAAAAGCTTATTGTAAAAAAAATATAAAGTTCTTGTTAAAAAAAATAAAAGGTAATGCAACAAAATTTCTTTTTCTTGTCAAAAAATAAAAGTTTATTGTAAAAAATATAAGGTTCTAGTAAAAAAAAAAAAAAAGGTTCTTGTTAAAAAAATAAAAAAAAGTAATACGACAAGCATTTCTTGTAAAAAAATAAATAAAAAGTTATTGTCATAAGAAATAAAAGGTCTTTGTCAATAAACAAAAGATCAAAAGTAATACAACAAATATTTATTGTAGAAAAATAAGAGGTTAGATTTGTTATTATTTGTATAATAAAATAATCATAAAATGTAAACCAACAAATTCAATTTCAGTATATAATGTTCTCCACCAATTCGAGCTTTTGGTGGTCATTTTTTATCGATTAAAACCATTCTTTATTATAGTCCATCTATGATTATATATTTCATCCATGATAATTCTATTATTTTTCTTTTGTGTGATATAAATTTAATAGTCAAAATAAGTTCATACAGAGAAAAAACATCTCAATACTCACATATTGATGAAAAAATGAAAATTAATAATATAGTACCCCGATTTCTTATTGGATCTAAAAAACAACATTTATAATGAATTTTAATAATTTTTTTAGATTTTTTTAAAGCTCAATCCAACCGATTCGACCGATTCCCGATCCGGATGGGTTTTTGAGGTGCCCGATCCAGGCCACCGATCCGTTTTTTAAACCACTGGTCATAACAAAGGATTATAAAGTGCTCAAAAACCCCTAAACTTGTTTTTCCAAAATAAAAACTTAAAGAGAATTGAAGCACAGAATAATGGTTGCATTATATTGTAATACATACCAGTTATGCACAACACAATGCCACTGAGTAACAGCCACGCTTTTTTCCCATTTCTCAGGAAGAATAGCACAGCATAATGGGGTGACAAAGCCTTAAAAATACTTGGGTAGTACTTCAAAATACTATACACTCCTATGATTGGAGTGCTGAAAGTCCAGGCAGCCATGATAGGAGAGAAAAGGAAGCTCACTCTTGAAGTGCCAAATTTTTGTACAAGAAACAATATGATCAAAACCCCAGCAGAAAGAGCCTCAATAGCAGCTGCAAAAGTTCATAAATGTATATACTTAAATTATGGCGCGAGAGGGAAGGAGAGAGGGAGGGAGGGAGGGAGGGAGGGAGAGAAACCCTTCAGGATTGACACTTACATTGACTAATCGAGTGGAAGGGACCTTTTAAACCATCCATTGCAGATAAGACTGCCAGACAAATAAAAAAAACATCATAAACAAAAGCGAAAGGCAGCATATTCAATAACTGTTTTCCTCCTTATGCTCTCCATGAATCTCCAAGAAAAATGTACCACTAAGTCATGAAGGTAAGAACCTGATATAGCAGGAGTAAGAATGCCATCACCAATTAGCATGCACACCCCAAGCATTGCAACAAAAAGCAGCAACCTCCTTGCAATTACACTTTGTTCAATGAACTTCACCAGGTAACTCTTATCAGGAGTGGCATATATACCACAGTGTGAAAGGCGCATGCTGGAATTTGACTTTCTTGACGAAATGCTGCCAACATCAGCATGCCTGCAAAGCAGTGAATAGAGGGCAAAGGTACCTCCTGCATTTTCACATTTTAGAGAAAAACTAGAGTCATCAAGGCAACAAAAAGGATAACTCAGATAATGTGTGCACACATTGACAAGGACTCACGACATACTTCACTGTGTACAACCAAAAACAAGGGGCCAAAAAAGGAAGGAGGGGGGCGGGTTGGAATCATGCCATCAAAGAAGACAGAAAATCTTTGTCACAACAAGGATAGATGATATTTCAAAAAGACCAGGAATGAAAACTTTATCTAGAAATGAAGAGTTAACCAACATATTTGCTTCCAATTCTATATACTAGAAGTACATAAGCAGTCACAAGAAAAGGACAACCAACCAAGTTCTGAGGCCACAATTTAACAAAGAAAAGGTCGCAATGCATTTGTTAGATGAAACACTATCTGAAAAGCGATTTTTTATATGCCAAGATCTGGTGTATGTGAGGCATCAAGTAATGGAACTACTGGTACAATAACTTGAGACACAAGTGTCACACCCCATGATTTATAACACTGGAATCCCTGAGATGTAACAGTCTATCTTTAACAAAACAAAATTTTTCTACTTCACCATTTATTGCATTAAAACAGATTTTTCCATTTCTAAGAGTCTGTACAAAGTCTACTCATAACTAGTATCAACATGAAGGTTTAGATATACATCTGTTGATAGGACAAAATTTACAATAGTGAATTTGAACAAAAGTCACAAAGAGAAAACTTCATCATAACTATGACTTCTTCCAAAGTTGGTCCTGTTGTGCCTTCAACTAGGGAGGCTGCAATTACCCTGAAATTTTTTTACCATAGTTTGATGAGTTTGGCTACTCAATAAGTGATCATCATAGTCCTCAAAAATAATCATAGTCAGAAGATGTAAGCATTTTCAAAACGGGAGGTCTATTAGAAACAATGCGAGCCAAAAAGCATTTATGGATAACAATTTCACTTTAAAAAATGCACAATTAAACATAATCCAAATTATTGAAATGCATAAAAATATTTTAACAGCAATGCATAACTCAAGGATTTCACAAAATACCCTACTGGCATCCCAAGTAGGTCTCCTATATACCCAACCAGCGTCCTGGATGGGTCCAAACAATCCCTGCAGATCCAAACATACTTCACTGGCGTCCCGGATGAGTCCAAATAGTCCCTACCGACGTAACAAGATAGGTCCAAACAATCCATGTAGGTCCAAACATTCCTCACTGGCGTCTCGATGAGTCCAAATAATCCCTAGCGGCATAACCGGATAGATCCAAACAATCCCTGCAGGTCCAAACGTACCTCACCGGCGTACCGGATGAGTCCAAATAGTCCCCATCGACGTCCCGGATAGGTCCACACATACTTAAATTATCTCAGAAACTCTTTAACATCAGAAAGCATCAACATCGTATATTCAAAATATCATTGAAATCATTAATAGGAATTCACTTGAAGCAATTTAAACACTTACTATCATTGAAATATTTGTAAGTAACCAATCAAACCATTTAAATAAAAATTACAGAAAGGTAGCAGATCGAACAGGTATATATGAAATGGAATCCAATAGGCAGTCGATTATCAATTTAAGAGCTTTTATAAAAATCCAAGGTTCGAAACATAAATATCACAATTTTATGGAATGTAATTTCATAATTAATTATTTTACAGGAATAGGTAAAACTTATAGTATCTAAAATTCATAGACAAAATAAAATACAATTAAATGCAGAAATGCGTAAATCTCACAGTATTGGCAGTATTATAATTAATTGCAGAAATAACAATTTTTCACATAATGATTTTACCAGAAATGACATCACTTACACATAAATTTTACAGTGTCAAAAAGTCATAATAATATGCAAAAATTTTATTTTCAATAATTTACAAGGTCTAAATTTCTAATAATAATATTTTTAACAGAAAAAAAATGATACCATATGTGCATAAAATTACAGCATAAAAATGGTGAACAAACTATTTTTCAAGATAATGAGATCATTTACCTATAATATTTGAGAGGGACCTTTCGGTAAAATTCGGCTAGAGAGATAGAGTTCACTGCGTTCTTTAATTCACAAAGAGGGCTCAACCTTATTGAGAGGGACGGGCGTAAGAGAGAGTGTTTTGCAGAGAGAGAATCCAACAGAGAGTGTTTTGCAGAGAGAGAATCCAACTCGTTCTCCTCTTTTTAAACACAAAAAAAATATTATTATAATATATTACTAACCCACCTCATACATGAGGTGTTTAGAAGGTGTTCCATTAACACTTAAAGCCCACGTACCTAGAGGACGTGGCACAAGAAACAAAAGGTGAAGGTAACAAGAGCAAAAAAAAATGATGGTCCCTAAGGACCAAATTATTTGTATGGACCATCAAAGGTTAAAGGTTTTTTTTTTTTTTAAAGTTTAGGATTGTTACATTTTCCCCCCCTTAAAAAAATTTAGTTCTCTAAATTTGTGTACCTGATTGCTGAAAAAGAAAGGGGTATTTTTCTCTAATTTCGTATTCTCGTTCTCAAGTTGACTCCTCTCTCGAATGATGCTGCCACAATATGCGGACCAAAGGAATCTCTTTGTTGCGCAACACCTGCACGCTCCTATCCAGTATCAAGCTTGGCTGCTCAATAAAGGTCAGGTCCTCCCTGATCGATAAATGTTCATATTTCAAGATATGGGATGAGCCGCGCTGATATTTTTCGTAATGAGGATGTATGGAAGACATTATGGATGTTTGTTAATTCAGGCGGTAAGGCAAGTCTATATGTAACGCCTCCGACTCTCTCAAGGATTTCAAAAGGTCCGATGTAACAGGGGCTCAACTTTCCTTACTTGCCGAATCCTATGATGCCCTTTATTGGCGACACCTTTAGGAAGACCCGATCACCTTCCTCAAATTCAAGGTCTCTCCGTCGGTTATTGGATAACTCTTCTGCCGACTCTGAGCTATCTTGAGCCTTTTTCGAATTAATATTATCTTATCTGAGGTTACCTGGACAATTTCTGACCCCACAAGCCTTCTTTTACCAACCTCATCCCAACAGACGAGTGACCTGCATCTACTTCCATACAGGGCTTCATATGATGCCATTTGAATACTGGTTTGGAAGCTATTGTTATATGTAAACTCAATCAGGGATAATTGGTCATCCCAACGTCTTTTAAAGTCAATGACACAGGTCCTTAGCATATCTTCCAAGGTCTAGATGGTCCTTTCCGATGGTCCATCAGTTTGGGGGTGAAAGGCGAAACTAAAAGTAGGTTTCGTCCCCATGGCTGACTGTAGTCTAGCCCAAAATTTAGAAGTAAACCGAGTGTCTCTGTCTGATACAATGTTGATCGGAAGTCCATGTAACCGCACTATTTCCTTAATGTACTACTGGGCTAGTCGATCCAAAGTGTAAGTCGTGCGGATCGGTAGGAAGTGTGCAACTTTAGTCAGCCGGTCTACAATAACCCAAATGTTGTCATGCCCTGAACTTGTTCTAGCCAAACCGGAGACAAAATCCATAAAAATGTGCTCCCACTTCCACTCATGCACGGGTAAAGGCTGCAACAACCCAGCAGGCTTCTGATGCTCAGCTTTTACTTGCCGGCATGTCAGACACTTGGATACAAATAGTGCTATCTCCTTTTTCATGTCATTCCACCAGTAAGTTTTCTTCAGGTCCTGATACATCTCCGAGATGTGTAGTATAACGGGAGTGATGTGCTTCTTCCAAGATAGATTTCTTTACATTCTCATCATTCGGGACACAAATCCGACC